TGCCGGCGGGCAGCGGCCGGGGCGAGCGGCGAACCCTCACTCGGGCGCGCTTGTCCCTCAGGGGGACGGGGGCGTGGAACGATTTCCCCGTAGATGTATAAAATCCGTATTCATAAGTACGTTTTTCTCGTTATATAGATAAAACTTAGATAAATACATCAGTACCCTGCTTGTGTTCTATTTTGTGGGAAATATTTTTAAAAGGTGAAAGCAGAATATTGAACTAAAATAAAGGTTTTAGTGTGTTGTGGGTATTTGTACCTTTATAACCAAAGAGTTAAAGCTTGGATTGGAATTCGCTCCCGCGTGTGTCAGTGAATCGCTGTGTCCTCTCCCAGTACTACTGATGGGCTCCATGCATCGAATGCAAAAGGCTGTTTTGAGTCCCCGATGCTGTCACGCTGATGGACTTGAAAGTTAAAGGGATAGGTAGCTCTTAACTTTGTTAATAACAGGCTTTCGGAAGTCGTTTCAACTTGCGAACTCGACACTCGAGTAAAACAATGTCTGGCGAATTTAAATCTAGTGATAATGGGCTTGCTTCCTTCATTAGTTTTCGTACAGCCCTTTAGAAGTAATCGGGGGATTATCTCCCGGGGCTCTATAGGGTGTAAACGACTGACTGACTGACGTCTCAACCTTGTTAATTGGTTTTCTACACATTCCACAGCCTGGTAGAAATCAGTGGTACATGTTTGGCAGTAGTAAAATCAGTGATCACTATGTACCAAGTCAGGAGCAGATGCTTTAGAGGTGCAAGTGTCTCGTGGATTGTGACACTAAAAACAAGATCTTAACACTGCGGTTCAGTGGAATTCTTAAATTAGGTGCCCAGATTCTACATGGTTTATTTTGGACAGGTTATCTTTGGAATCTGGAAGATTCAGTTAACTAAGGTATCCAGTGGAAATACTGAAGTGTGTATTGAGACGCGCAGTGATTTAAAGGTCCTAATCTAGCCTGGATTTGGGGAGTCGTCTTGAGATTCCCAAGTATTGAACCTTCTTCCCGTGGTGGTTTATGCTTTAGTTATGTCATTATTTTGTTTTGTAAGGTGTTACCAGGGTAAGATAATACTTCTACTTTTGATCCTTTGGGTTGGAAGTTGGCATCCTCACTCGGAGAGGTTTTATCAAGGGCCTGAAAAATGCCTGGTATGACAAATTACCCCCCAAAAGATCTAGTTTGGATATTAAACTGACAGCAGAACAGTGCTGTCATTTCTTGAGCAATTTGTTGTAGGCTCATGAATGGGGATCGTTCCATCAGCATTAAACCTTTCATTTGTTTATTTTTTTCATCTTGTCACAAAAGGTAACTTCCTATGTCTGATCTAATTTCATAGAATCACAGAATGGTTTGGGTTGGAAGGGACCTGAAAGACCATCCAGTTCCACCACCTTAAAAACCATCTAGTTCCAACCCCCTGGCCAGGGGCAGGACACCTTGCACTAGACCGGGTTGCTCCAAGCCTCATCCAGCCTGGCCTTGGACACTCCCAGGGATGGGGCATCCACAGCTTCTCTGGGCAACCTGTTCCAGTGCCTCACCACCCTTTCCATGCAGAATTTCTTCCTGATACCTAATCTAAACCTCCCCGCTTTCAATTTAAACCCGTTACCCCTTGTCCTATCACTACAGGCCTCTGTAAAAAGTCCCCCCCCCAGTTTCCTTGTAGGCCCCTTCAGGTACTGGAAGATAGGGAAGTTTTCCATATCTTGTATGTAAAAATCATGGTGATATAGCATGAGATGGTTCATGAGTTTAATCTTTGTTTTATGGACAAAGGATTGTTGAAGAAGTTTAGGTGATGACGTGATTAAAGACAGAAAACACTGCTCTCACAGTCTTTCCTGGCTTTTAAAAAAATATTTTCATGTTCAGTGTACATGTAACTGTTTTGTGTGGAGTGTAGAGCCTAATAGTTACTTTTGGAATTTTTATTGATGGAAATGCAGGTATTTAAACAACTCATGCTAATTTTGATTAGGTAATATTGTAGTGATGGCTTTCAAGAATGACCTGTTTATGTCTAAAGCAATATTGAGGCTATAAATGTTCCTATTTTCACCCTTCTTTTTTTTTTTTTTTAATAAATGCAGAGTTTGCTTTCTAAAGCACAAGGAGGAGGCTCCAGCTCAGTCAAACTTCGAGGAGGCTCTCTATTTAGGAATGTTGAGAAATCGGACAAGCAAGAATGTATTAGACAAACACCTCATGTGAACATCAATCCCTTCACTCCTGAGTCCATATTCCTTCGCAACTCTGAAGGAAGAATTCGTAGGAGGAAGAGAACACACCGGAATGAGTGAGTTACTTGTATCTTCCTTTGTTAAGTTTATCTTCAGAACTATCAGCTTCAAAGGTCTTGTTACAAATTGCTTCTATGAAAGTATTTTTCCTTTTAGATCGGTTAGTGATGCATAATACAGCTCTTACTATCTGCTTTGAGATGTGTGATATTGTGAAATAACCATTTAGCACTAGATACTGTGATTAGTATACAAAGAGGATAGGCTAGGCTAGGCTGTGTCCTACATCCTTGTTCCTTGACTGAATGAGCTATGCACAGTCTTTCTTGAGGGAAAAACATTCAGTACTAGTACAAAACATGAAGAAAGAAATTACTTTTATGAGTTTGTGCTTACCATGATGGGAGAATTAGATCTCGGGGAAATCCACAGCTGCTAGGCTTCAGTTTTATGTTTACTTAAGCCATGTTACTTCTGCACAAGTAACTGGTGTGAATTTCAGCTCTTGCGGGGAGGACGTGGAAGCAAGTGATGGAGAGCCTGAATATGAAACTGTGAGACCTGCTAAGGTAATTAATAATTAAAACTTCATATGAAGCTTGACAGTTTCTGTATCTGCAGATGTAAGTATTTTCCTTGTTCATCTTTGCAGAGGATAATAACAGAAAGCAATATGAAGTCACGGTATGCAACCGAATTTCATGAGTTGGAGAAGATTGGATCTGGTGAATTCGGTTCCGTGTTTAAATGTGTGAAGAGGCTTGATGGCTGTATTTATGCAATAAAGCGATCCAAGAAACCCTTAGCTGGCTCCGTGGATGAGTGAGTAGTTTCAGCTATTAAAAGTCACCTTGGTGCTTTTTCCTTCCATGTCTCTTTGCATTGGTGTCTAGAGGTGGTGTTTAAAAGTATAAATATACATGAATTAAATGTAAACCAGATACAGTTTCAAATCACTACTCTTTTTTTTCTGAAAAGGCTTCTTGGCCTTTCTCCTAGCAGATGTTTGTGCCAATATTCTGCATGGAAACATACTGTTCTCACCTGAAAAATAAAGATAATGCTTACTTGCATTAATGGCAGGAGCTGCCATTATCTGTCTGAATAAATTGCAGTGATGATCCTTTGAGATATGAAAGGAAAAAATACATTCCCAACTAGATCCTCATCCTTGTTAACTTGAGTGACAAGCAGATTAGGCAAGTCAGTATCAAGCTGAAATTGGACTGATTTCACTTAATGTTCTTGTGTGCTGTTTTTTTGTGACTGTAACAGGCAAAATGCTTTAAGGGAGGTCTACGCACATGCAGTTCTGGGACAGCATTCTCACGTAGTAAGGTACTACTCTGCATGGGCGGAAGATGATCATATGCTTATACAGAATGAATATTGCAATGGTGAGTAAAGTTTTTCACTTGTTCTGAACTTGCTTTCCAAAGAATATAATTTTTGAAGATAACAGAGGTATTTCTACAAATTCTTAGCACTGGTTAGGGATTGATTGTCATACATACAGCTTATACCATCGTTGTCTCAAATATGTCTGATGGTCCTTTCTGTTTGAAAAGGCCTGTCACATATATGACGCAGAAACGATGCAAAACTGCAAAGCCTTTGTGTGCAAGAATATTGAAAGTACAGTGAGGCATTTGTGAGCAGTAGAACTGTTCTTTTTTCTGTACAGTAGTACAAGCTGTAGTAGCAAAAATGACCAGAGTTCTCTTTAAAAGGGAGATGGACCAAATTTCTGATTTCCCCCCCCCCCCCCCACCACCCACGCCCTCAGC